ATGGGAAAGCCAATAAAATAAAAATAGAATAATAAATACTTGATAACCTTCTTCTTGACCTGCCATTTATTCTCTCTCTCTCTCTCTCTCTCTCTCTCTCTCTCTCTCTCTCTCTCTCTCTCTCTCTCTCTCTCTCTCTCTCTCTCTCTTTTTGCCAATCTTTCTATTCCTTCCTCCCATCTATATTCTTCTCATCTCTTCTCTCCCTTTCCACTCCCACACATTTATTCAGTTGTTTATCTATTCCCCTCTTCCTTTCCACCCGTTTCGTCTCTTTTCTATATATTCTACCCATTTATTCCCTTCTGTGTCTCTCCCCCCTTCCTCTTGGCCCATTTCGTCTCTTATTTATCCATTCTCTTCTCTCCTCTTCCCTTGCTCTCCACCCATTCATCCCCTTCTCTCTCTCTTCCCTCCTTCTCCCCACCCATTTACCAGTGACCCTCCCCTTACATTGCCGAATATTTTTTCTTCAATGGGCAGTCAGTCCCGCGATATAAGGACCTCTGATTCAACCCTCCCTCCCTCCCTCCCTCCTCCTCCTCCCTCCCTCCCTCCTCCCTCCCCCCTCCCTCCCTCCTCCTCCTCCTCCCTCCCTCCTCTCCCCATTCCCCTCTCCTTCTCTCATCCTCCCCTCCTCCTCCTCCTCCTCTCCATCCTCCACATTCATTTCCTCCTCATCCTGCTGCCTCTCCTCCCCATCTTCTCTAACGTCTTTCCCTACCCCTTTCTCCCCATTACTCTACTGCCTCTCCCCATCACCCCCACCTCCTCCATCACCCTTCCCTCCATCACCATCACCTCCCCTTTATCCCTCCCCTTCGTTTAGCCCCTTCTCTATCCTCCCTCCTCTCATCACCCCATTCACCCCCACCCCATTACCCCTTCACCTCCCCCGCCCTACCCTATCCTCCTTCCTTCAAGTATCCTCCTCTCCCTGAACTCCTCCACACCCCTTCTCTCCCCCCTACCTCCCTCCCTTCAAGTATCCTCCTCTCCCCTCACCCCACACCTCTTCTCCCCTGAGTTAGTTTGTACCTTTCTTCTCCATTAAAAATAGAACACGTCTCTCTCTCTCTCTCTCTCTCTCTCTCTCTCTCTCTCTCTCTCTCTCTCTCTCTCTCTCTCTCTCTCTCTCTCTCTCTCTCTCTCTAGAATACTTGTTTCACCATTCCCAGGAAGGTGATGGCCTCCTTCTTGATTCTTTGAAACTCCCTCCTTCCTTCCTTCCCCTCCCTCCTTCCTTCTTCCCTCTCCTTCCCTTCCTCTTTCCTCCCTCTCCCTCCTTCCTTCCTTCTCCTCCCTTCCTTCCTCCTCCTCCCTTCCTTCCTTCTCTCTCCTTCCTCCTCCTCCCTCCCTCCCTCTTCCTTCCTTCCTTCTCTCCTTCCTTCCCTCCCTCCTCCCTCCCTCCTTCCTTCTCTCTTCCTTCCTCCTCCCTCCTCCTCCCCCCCTTCCTTCCTTCCTTCCTTCTCTCCTTCCTTCCTCCTCCCTCCCTCCTTCCTCTTTTCCCTCCTCTTTCCCTCCTTCCCCACCCTCTTCCTCCCTCCTCCTCCCTCCCTTCCTCCTCCCTCCCCTCCCTCCTTCCCTCCCTCCTCCCTCCTTCCTTCCTTCCTTCTCTCCCTCCCTCCCCTCCTCCTCCTCCTCCCTCCCTCCTCCTCCCTCCTCCTCCTCCCTCCTCCCTCCTTCCTTCTCTCCTTCCTTCCTCCCTCCTCCTCCTTCCTTCTCTTTCCCTCCCTCTTCCTCCTTCCCCTCCTTCCTCCCTCCTCCCTCCTCCTTCCTCCCTCCTTCCTTCCTTCCTTCCTTCCTCCCTCCCTCCTCCTCCCTCCCTCCCTCCCTCCTCCCTCCCCCTCCTCCTCCTTCCTTCTCTCCTTCCTTCCCACCCTCCTCCTTCCTTCCAACCTCCTTCCTCCCACCTCCTTCCTCCCCTTCCTCCTCCTCCCCTCCTCCAAGATAAGCCTTTCCATCCCTCTACTAAACAGAACTCAACCAGATATTTTTGCACCTGAAAAAATAAGCAGTTAAGTAAAATAAGTATATCCGGCTCATCGTTACTGTTTATATAAGTGATATGGTTAACAAAAACGATGCAGGGAAATATGAAAAAAAATAGTGGTATTTTTTTTTTTGGTATGTTTTTTATCCCAGAGAATAGAAATGATAGACGTCGTAGTAGTGTGAGCGTTACTTACAATACTCACACCTCTAAGCACTACTTACACTTAACACTTATTATCCACTTTGTGGAAATCACCCGGACGAGGCTTAGTCATGGCCGCCCGCTGATGGTGTTACCTTATAGTTATATTTTATCATTATTAATATTACCTAACCTAACCTAACCTTTCATCTCACTGATACACATATCCACCCTCTGTAAATTTTCCTTTGAAGACCTCAGGCGGTGGATGTCTCCTCCGGAACAGTTGCCATAAACAACGCTCCTTCACGCCTCTTAAGTCGTCTAGTTTAGGTGTTGCTCTCTCTCTCTCTCTCTCTCTCTCTCTCTCTCTCTCTCTCTCTCTCTCTCTCTCTCTCTCTCTCTCTCTCTCTCTCTCTCTCTCTCTCTCATGGTGGCAGCAACAGTTAAAAAAGAAAAGAAAAATGAGAGACGCTCGCACGACGATGTACGCTTAGCACACGTCATCTGTGTGTGTGTGTGTGTGTGTGTGTGTGTGTGTGTGTGTGTGTGTGTGTGTGTGTTACTGCGACAAAGTAATGCCTCGTCTCCTTTACTCAGCAGTACAAAATGGCCTCAATCTATCTGCCGTGGTGGCGGTGTGTTGCTACCAAGAAAAAAAAAGGTTAGGTAGGTAGGTAGGTTGAGGTTAGGATAGAATAGATCATGTCGTATTATTTCTCTCCAAAGTAACATTTAAACACCCAATTATAAACTTGGTAATTTTTGTAGACATTTACACCGTCGACAGATACACCTAACTAAACTATACCTTGAACACACCTCATTAAGCAGGTCTTGGGGGTGATTACACTACATCAACAGAACACACACACACACACACACACACACACACACACACACACACACACACACACACACACACACACACACACACACACACACACTAATGTTTCCAAACCTTAGGAAAAATGCAATCCTGGAAAACGGTGAAGACAATCTAGCCATTATTTTATTGCCAGCGACAGTAAGAAAGTGGCGGAATTCTCCGTCTCCCTCTCAGTGTTCGTCTCCTGCAGTTTTTTCATTTTTTTCTCATGTGTTGTCGTGTGTGGCAGAAGGGCCTGCTAACGCTCAGTTTCCTCCCTCTATCTCTACCCTCTCACCTCACCTCCTGCTGCACCTCCCTCACCCTCACCTCCTGCTGCACCTCCTCACCCCACCTCCTGCACCTCCCTCACCCACCTCCTGCACCTCCCTCCACCTCACCTCCTGCACCTCCTCACCCCACCTCCTGCTGCACCTCCCTCACCCCCACCTCCTCCTGCACCTCCCTCACCTCACCTCCTGCTGCACCTCCCCTCACCTCATCCTCTGCCTCCCTCACCCCACCTCCTGCTGCCTCCTCCACCCCACCTCCTCCTGCACCTCCTCCTCACCTCCTTGCCTCCTCCTCATCCTCTTGCTGCCTCCCTCACCCCACCTCCTGCTGTCCTCACCCACCTCCTTGCACCTCCCTCACCCCACCTCCTCCTGCCTCCCTCACCCCACCCCTGCTGCACCTCCCCTCCCCTCCTCCCTCACCTCCCTCCTGCCTCCTCACCTCATCCTCTGCTGCCTCCCTCCTCCCCACCCCTGCCTCCCTCACCCACCTGCCTCCCCTCACCCCACCTCCTGCTGCACCTCCTCACCTCACCTCTGCTGCCCCCTCACCTCACCTCCTGCTGCCTCCTCCACCTCTGCACCTCCCCTCACCTCATCCTCTTGACCTCCTCACCCCTCCTGTCCTCTTATCTCTCTGCTGCCTCCTCACCCCACCTCCTGCCTCCCTCACCCACCTCCTGCTGCACCTCCTTCACCCCGCCTCCTGCTGCACCTCCTCACCCCCACACCGAGATAAGGTTGCCCAGTAGTTGGTTGGTGTAAAATATAAAAGACTGACTAAAACCAGGTGGAGAATACCGCTTGATGATCACTGTTTATTACCCACACTCTGGTGGCCGGTAGTCCCATTATCATCTCTCCTCCTCTTATTTCTTCTTCCTCCTCTCCTTCCCTCCTTCTCTCTACTCAGGGCACACACACACCACCCCCTCCTCCTCCCCCAACATTCCCCTCCCTCCTCCCAACATTACCCCCCACCCTCCTCCAACATTACCCCTCCCTCCTCCAACATTACCCCTCCTCCCTCAACATTATCCCCCTACCCCAACATTAGCCAAGACAGTCAAGTACTCACCTCCTCTGACACTACGGTCGGGTGTGTGTATTTGCAGGTCGTTAGACAAAAAAAGGTGGGCGTAGCTTCACTGCTCGTTACCGCACTGCCCCACCCCCTCCCTCATCATCAACCTATTATGTGTGTACGTTATCACAGACACACTATAAAAAGCATAGTGTGTGTGTGTGTGTGTGTGTGTGTGTGTGTGTGTGTGTGTGTGTGTATATGTTAAGTCCCAAATATACAGCACCCGTCAATGTTATTATTTTCTTAAAGGTTGTTTTTTAGCTTTAATGACGTCAGTAAAACATGTTGTGGAAAAAATTCTAAAAGTCTATACATTTTTAAAAAACTCGATTCTGAGAACGGAACCTTCAAAAAGTATTTTAGCTGCGGGTCCAGAGTGTTATAATTGATGAAGTTTACCTGGCCTCTGACCCCTCCTCCTGTGGGGGGGCCGTGTTTCTCCTTTATGCATGAGACAAAAAACTAATAAAAAAAATTAAACAGTAGAGGTAATTTGGGGATGTCGAGAAATGCCTGAGGATCAGAGAAAGTCAAGAGAATGCCTGGTCGAGAGAATGTCTGGTCGAGAAATGCCTAGTAGAGAATCTGGGGGTCGAAAAATGTCTGGTAGAATGCTCAAAGAACTCTGGAGTCGAAAATGCCTGGGGGTAGAATGTCTGGGGTCGAAATGCCTGGGGTCGAGAGAATGTCTGGGGTCGAGAGAATGCCTGGGGTCGAGAAATGTCTGGGGTCGAGAATGCCTGGGGGTCGAGAATGCCTGCGAGAGAATGTCTGGGGGTCGAGAGAATGCCTGGGGGTCGAGAGAATGTGTCTGAGAGATGAGAATGCCTGGGGGTCGAGAGAATCCTGTGGGTCGAGAGAATGTCTGGTAAAAGCCTGGTCGGAGAATGCCTGGTCGAGAATGTCTGGTCGAGAGAACCTGGGGGTCGAGATGCCTGGGGGTCGAGAATGCCCGGATGGTCAGAAAAGCCGGGGGTCGTAACTCCGGTAAACAAATGAAAGAGGAATTGTGAAAACTAAGATTGATGATAAGATAATTGGGTTGGTTAGGTGGACGGGATACCACCAACATACAGGTCGCCTTGTAGTTACCACCAACATAAACAAGATTAAACCAATTAGACGTTAAAATTAAGCGACCTCACCTTTGCCCTTAACACACACACACACACACACACACACACACACCTACCTCTGGCCTTATCAACACACAGGTTTATGCCTCCGGTATACAGTGAGGCATAACCTGAAGGCAGCTCATTGCTATAGTGACCCCCAGTGCTTAACTACGTGCATAATACAGTAGTTTTTAGCATTGATGTGTATACGGGGCGCTGGGTCGGTCTGTAGTGTACGGGCGCTGAGTCGGTCTGTAGTGTCGGGCGTGAGTGGTCTGATGTGGGTTTGTAGTGGGCGCTGAGTCGTCTGTGTACGGGCGCTGTGTTGTTGTGCGGCTGAGTGGTCTGTAGTGTACGGGGCGCTGAGTCGGTCTGTAGTGTACAGGGCGCTGAGTCGGTCTGTAGTGTACGGGCGCTGAGTCGGTCTGTAGTGTACAGGGCGCTGAGTCGGTCTGTAGTGTACGGGGCGCTGAGTCGGTCCAGTGTGCGGGGCGAGTCGGTCTGTAGTGTACTGGGCGCTGAGTCGGTCTGTAGTGTACTGGGCGCTGAGTCGGTCTGCAGTGTACAGGGCGCTGAGTCGGTCTGTAGTGTATGGGCGCTGGGTCGGTCTGTAGTGTACGGGCGCTGAGTCGGTCTGTAGTGTACGGGGCGCTGAGTCGGTCTGTTAGTGTACGGGGCTGCTGAGTCGGTCTTAGTGTACTGGGCGCTGAGTCGGTCTGTAGTGTACGGGGCGCTGAGTCGGTCTGTAGTGTGCGGCGGCGGGTCGGTCTGTAGTGTACGGGGCGCTGAGTTGGTGTAGTGTGCAGGGCGGTCGTCTGTGTGGTGTACGGGGCGCTGAGTCGGTCTGGTATTGCGGGCGCTGGTCGGTCTGTAGTGTACGGGGCGCTGAGTCGGTCTGTAGTGTACGGGGCGCTGAGTCGGTCTGTAGTGTACGGGGCTGATGCGGTCTGTAGTGTACGGGGCGCTGAGTCGGTCTGTAGTGTACTGGGCGCTGAGTCGGTCTGTAGTGTCTGGGCGCTGAGGTCGGTCTTAGTGTGCGGGGGCGCTGAGTCGGTCTGTAGTGTACGGGCGCTGAGTCGGTCTGTAGTGTACAGGGCTGGTCGGTCTGTGGTGTCGGGCGCAGTCGGTTGGTGGCAGTCGGTCTGTAGTGTACGGGGCGCTGGAGTCGGTCTGTAGTGTACAGGGCGCTGAGTCGGTCTGATGTGCAGGGCGCTGAGTCGGTCTGCAGTGTACGGGGCGCTGAGTCGGTCTGTAGTGTACGGGGCGCTGAGGTCGGTCTGTAGTGTACGGGGCGCTGAGTCGGTCTGTTGTGAGGGCGCTGAGTCGGTCTGTGGGGGCGCTGTGTCTGTGTACGGCTGAGTCGGTCTGTAGTGTACGGGGCGCTGAGTCGGTCTGTAGTGTACGGGGCGCTGAGTCGGTCTGTAGTGTACGGGCGCTGAGTCGGTCTGTAGTGTACGGGGCGCTGAGTCGGTCTAGTGTGCAGGGGCGCTGAGTCGGTCTGTAGTGTACGGGGCGCTGAGTCGGTCTGTAGTGTACGGGCCGCTGAGTCGGTCTGTAGTGTACGGGGCGCTGAGTCGGTCTGTAGTGTACGGGGCGCTGAGTCGGTCTGTAGTGTACGGGCGCTGGTCGGTCTGTAGTGTACGGGGCGCTGAGTCGGTCTGTAGTGTACGGGGCGCTGAGTCGGTCTGTGCAGTGTACGGGGCGCTGAGTCGGTCTGTTCGTCTTGGAATTTAGTCTGGCTGCTGGGATTACTTTATGCTGTGGGGTTTGTCTTTACATTTAGGGGTTTTTCTTACGTTTAAAAGCCTTATTTTATGTTAGTAATAGTTAGTGAAGAGCCTCTGAAAATGTTGCTTAAACATATAAAAAAAAAACTTGACCCATTGTTGCGTTGTCGACTGAATACATTAAAACACTGGGTACTTAAAGGTAGTGTACTGAGTCTCCACGGTTTAAACTCTCTATGTGGGGTTTAACCAATAGAATACCCCGACTGTGTGATGTGAATTTTGATTGGTGGGAAGAAGGGTTTAGAGGTGGATGACAGTTACTACCGAGTGTTGTGTTAGGGTGAGGTGAGAGGCTATTGGTGGCTGTGTTAATGAAACCCAACAGGTGAAGACAGGTGTAGACAGATGAAGACAGGTGTAGACAGGTGAAGACAGGTGTATATAGGTGTAGACAGGTGTAGACAGATGAAGACAGGTGTAGACAGATGAAGACTGGTGAAGACAGGTGTAGACAGGTAGAGAGAGGTGAAGACAGGTGTAGACAGATGAAAACAGGTGTAGATAGGTGAAAACAGGTGAAGACAGGTGTAGACAGATGAAGACAGGAGTAGATAGGTGAAAACAGGTGTATATAGGTGTAGACAGGTATAGACAGATGAAGACTGGTGAAGACAGGTGTAGACAGATGAAGACTGGTGAAGACAGGTGTAGACAGGTAGATATAGGTGAAGGCAGGTGTAGACAGGTGAGGACAGGTGTAGTGTCAGACCATCCCTATTAGGCTGAACACCTTGGTCACACCTGCTTTAATATAACCCACTGTAGTGTTGGGACGCCTAGCTGCTCCCTGCCACGCCACACCATGCCTCGCTACACCACACCACACCATGCCTCACCACACCAAGCCTCACCACACCACGCCTCACCACACCACGCCTCACCACACCACACCACGCCTCACCACACCATGCCTCACCACACCATGCCTCACACACCACGCCTCACCACACCACGCCTCACCATGCCTCACCACAGCCTCACACCACACCACGCCTCACCACACCAAGCCTCACCACACCGCCTCACCACACCACGCCTCACCACACCATGCCTCACACCACCTCACCACACCAAGCCTCACCACACCACGCCTCACCACACCATGCCTCACCACACCACGCCTCACCACACCAAGCCTCACCACCACGCCTCACCACACCATGCCTCACCACACCACACCACGCCACACCCACACCATGCCTCACCACACCACGCCTCACCACACCACGCCTCACCACACCATGCCTCACCACACCAAGCCTCACCACCACCTCACCACACCACGCCTCACCACACCACGCCTCACCCACCATGCCTCACCACCACCTACACCAAGCCTCACCACACCACGCCTCCACACACCACGCCTCCACCACACCACGCCCTACACCACCTCACCACACCATGCCTCACCACACCATGCCTCCACCACACCAAGCCTCACCACCACCTCCCACCACACCATGCCTCACCACACCACGCCCTAACCACACCACACCATGCCTCACCACACCACGCCTCACCACACCACGCCTCACCACACCAAGCCTCACCACACCACGCCTCACCACCCATGCCTCCCACACCATGCCTCACCACACCAAGCCTCACCACCGCCTCCCACCTGCCCACACCACACCACCACACCACACCATGCCTCACCACACCACGCTCACCACACCACCCTCCACCAACCACCATGCCACCACACCACGCCTCACCACACCACTCCCCCACACCACCACACCATGCCTCACCACACCACCCTCACACACCATGCCTCACCACCACGCCTCACCACACCATGCCTCACCACATGCCTCACCACACCACCACGCCTAACCACACCACACCATGCCTCACCACACCATGCCTCACCACACCACACCATGCCTCACCACACCACACCATGCCTCACCACACCACACCACTTAGCCCAACATCTGGCCAAACTTGCTCTATCATCTGTCATGTCAATAAATGTCATGAAATCAATGAGACATACCGGTGGGTGACGGGTGATGGGGGGTCCCTAGAGCCCCCTCCCCCTCCTTGCTTGTATCTGTCCATGATACAGTGAGGTGATGATGGTCTCTTGTATACAACAAACCTACAGACTCTACGTGACCTTCTATAAGATATAAGCAACACTGACGCCGAGGCTTGGGCAGATAAACACAAGAGGAATATATAACAAAACCTCAAGATAAAGGAAGATAGTAGCTAATGTGGGAGACTTGGACAATAAAAATATGGATTAAAAAAAGGAAGGAAGGAAGGAACGAAAGAATGAAGGAACGCGTAAAGAGTTGCCACATTTAAATTGTTAATGCTGCGCCAGACTACTGCGCCAGACATGTGGAATTCACATTTCTTGCTCTGGCGAACAAACTTTTTGGTCCAGTTGTCACTGCCGATGACAATCTTCCTGGCCACCCACCGCCCCGACCTGCGCCCTCACAGGGAGGGAGGGAGGGAGGGAGGGAGACTCACTCTTGCCAGGGAGATTACTGAGGGAGAGGAAGACTCACACCTGTCAGGAAGATTACTGGGGAGAGACTCACACCTGCCAGGGAGATTACTGAGGGAGGGAGACTCACACCTGCCAGGGAGATTACTCAGGGAGAGAGAAAGGGAGACACACCTGCCAGGGAGATTACTGAGGGAGGGGGTCACACCTGCCAGGAAAATTACTCAGGGAGGGAGGAAGGGAGACTCACGCCTATCAGGGAGATTACTGAGGGAGGGAGGGAGACTCGTACCTGCTGGGAGATTACTGAGGGAGGAGGGAGACTCAGACCTGCCAGGGAACTTACTGAGGGAGGAGGAAGACTCACACCTGCCAGGGAGCTTTCTGGGGAGGGAGCGAGGACTCGTACCTGCTAGGAGATTACTGAGTAGGAGGAGACTCTACTGTGAGAGACTGTGAACTGAGAGAGGCTCCGTGTTGGGTAGACTGTGAGCTGAGAGAGGCTCGTGTTGGGGAGACAGTGAACTGAGAGAGGCTCCGTGTTGGGAGACTGTGAGCTGAGAGAGGCTCCGTGTTGGGAGACAGTGAACTGAGAGAGGCTCGTGTTGGGGAGACTGTGAGCTGAGAGAGGCTCCGTGTTGGGAGACAGTGAACTGAGAGAGCTCCGTGTTGGGGAGACTGTGAGCTGAGAGAGGCTCCGTGTTGGGGAGACTGTGAGCTGAGAGAGGCTCTGTGCTGCTGCAGTTTCCTGTAACACTCTCAGGCTGCAACTATTGATTAATTGAAGTGGCGGAGGTCCTAGTGTGGCTAGTGGTGGGGATGGTGTGCCAGTGCTGGTGATGGTGGTGTGGCCAGTGGTGGTGATATGGTGTGGCAGTGGTGGTGATAGTGTGGCCAGTCGTGGTGATGGTGTGGCCAGTGGTGGATATGGTGTAGCCAGTCGTGGTGGTGTGTGGTGGTGGTGATGGTGTGGCCACTGGTGATAGTGTGACCAGTGGTGATGGTGTGACCACTGGTGATAGTGGCACTGGTGATGGTGTGGCCAGTGGTGGTGATGGTGTGGCCAGTGGTGGTGATGGTGTGGCCAGTGGTGTGATGGTGTGGCCACTGGTGATGGTGTGGCCAGTGGTGGTGATGGTGTGGCCACTGGTGATGGCGTGGCCACTGGTGATGGTGTGGCCAGTGGTGTATAGTGTGTTAGTGACTTGAGCCAGTGTTGACAGCCAGGCGAGACTACATACACCACACAGTGCAATAAGTGTGTGTGTGTGTGTGTGTGTGTGTGTGTGTGTGTGTGTGTGTGTGTGTGTACGGGTTGTCAGAGTCCCTGGCACTGACTAATGACGGCCTGAGAGAGAGAGACTCAAACTACTTTGCCCTACTGAGGCGTCACTGACTCCGGTAGCTGGCTGGAGAAAGCAGTGAGAGGAGAGGGAGAGGGAGGAGAGGAGGAGGAGGGAGGAGGAGGGAGGGGGAGGAGGGAGGGAGGAGGGAGGTCTACGTGACACCTACCTTCATCCTCTCATTGACTTGCAAATTATCAGTCATTAGTTACTACCTCCCTCGCTCGTTAACACACAGAGTCACGCTTCTCTTCCTACTCATCTATTAAGCGTATTGGAGGCTGGTGGTCGTGTTGGAGGCTGGTGGTCGTGTTGGAGGCTGGTGGTCGTGTTGGGCTGGTGGTCGTGTTGGAGGCTGGTGGTCGTGTTGGAGGCTGGTGGTCGTGTTGGAGGCTGGTGGTCGTGTTGGAGGCTGGTGGTCGTGTTGGAGGCTGTGGTCGTGTTGGAGGCTGGTGGTCGTGTTGGAGGCTGGTGGTCGTGTTGGGCTGGTGGTCGTGTTGGAGGCTGGTGGTCGTGTTGGAGGCTGGTGGTCGTGTTGGAGGCTGGTGGTCGTGTTGGAGGCTGGTGGTCTGTGTTGTGGAGGCTGGTGGTCGTGTTGGAGGCTGGTGGTCGTGTTGGAGACTGGTGGTCGTGTTGGAGGCTGGTGGTCGTGTTGAAGGCTGGTGGTCGTGTTGGAGGCTGGTGGTCGTGTTGGAGGCTGGTGGTCGTGTTGGAGGCTGGTGGTCGTGTTGGAGGCTGGTGGTCGTGTTGGAGGCTGGTCGTCGTGTTGGAGGCTGGTCGTCGTGTTGGAGGCTGGTGGTCGTGTTGGGAGGCTAGTGTGGTCGTGTTGGAGGCTGGTGGTCGTGTTGGAGACTGGTGGTCGTGTTGGAGACTGGTGGTCGTGTTGGAGACTGGTGGTCGGGAGACCGGTGGTCGTGTTGGGAGACTGTGGTCGAGACCGGTGGTTGTGTGTAGGAGACTGGTGGTCGTGGGAGACCGGTGGTCGTGTTGAGACCGGTGGTCGTGTTGGAGACTGGTGGTCGTGGAGACCGGTGGTCGTGTTGGAGACTGAACTGTGGTCAACACTCCCTATTAAGTGGACGTAAATTGAAAACAATTTGATGAGCTCAACCGCAGGAGGCTTAATTAATGCTATACACCTGTCCCCTCCACACACACACACACACACACACACACACACACACACACACTGAGCCAAGTGTTGACGGGTGGATCATGTCTTCTGAAATGTTCCATGGGTAAATTCTCAGCATTTACTTCAAGACAAATTCCTACCTGTTAAGACTTGGATTAGGTTGTGGATTAGGTCAAGATTGGTAAGGTTATCATCCGGATTAAGTTAATGTTAGCTTGTAGATTAGGTGTGGTTAGGTTAGGTTTGATTGGGGTAGGTTAGATTAGGTTGGGATAGGTTAGGTTAGGTTGGTAGGTTAGGTTAGGTTGGGATAGGAGTTAGGTTAGGTTGGGATAGGTTAGGTTAGGTTGGGGTAGGTTAGGTTAGGTTGGGATAGGTTAGGTTAGTGGCGCCTATTACCGTGGTTGGGTCCCTCCACTGCGCCAATAATGGGTTTCATTATGGCGGGAGATTAAGAGGATAATGATCTTTAATAACACCATAATGATCTATTGAAACCTTGAGAAATATTATAAAGTGTTTAACTTTTAATTCAATCATGACCAAAGAGAACACTGAGAAACGCTTGGTGACTATTATTATTATTATTATTATTATTATTATTTATTATTATTATTATTATTATTATTATTATTATTGTTGTTATTGTTGTTGTTGTTGTTGTTGTTGTTGTTGTTAGTAGTAGTAGTAGTTACAGCAAAACAACAATAGCCTTATTATACCAAAAGCAGCAGCAGGTAACCTCCACAAGTCACCTGTAATCTCACCCCTGGCTCCTAGTGTTACCTGAGCTTATTATATGTATTACTGTGGCTCTGTCGGTGGTCGCCAGGGGGGCCAGCGCATTAGGGGGAAGCAACAGCGTCAACAGTAAGGAGGGGGGTCAATAGGGGAAGGGGTCAGCGTCAACAGTAAGGAGGGGGGTCAGCGTCAATAGGGAAGGGGGAACAGTCAATAGGGGAAGGCAACAGGCCAATAGGGAAGGGGTCAGCGTCTATAGGAGGAAGGGGTCAACGTCAACCAGTAGGAACGGGATCAGCGTCAATAGGGAGGGTCAGTCTAGGAAGGGGGGTCAACGTCACAGTAAGGAGGGGGGTACGACAACAGTAAGGGAGGGGGGGCAACGTCACAGTAGGGAGGGGTCACAACAGTAAGGGAGGGGGTCAACGTCAACAGTTAAGGGGAATGAAAGGAGGGGGGTCAACGTCAGCAGTAAGGGGAGGGGGTCAACGTCAGCAGTAGGGAAGAGGGGGTGAAGGGGGAGTGGAGGAGGAGGAGGTATATATTTATCTTTTGTGTAGAAGGGTTTACTGGCCAGGGACCTGCAGAGGGATGTGATTTAGCCTATTAGAAAAAAACCTCTTATTTTGTATGTTGTATTTTTTTTAGGAATGTATTGTCTGTTTCCTCGTTTATTTATTGTATTTTTGTTGTTTGGTATAATCTTTTTCCTGGCTTATTTATTGTATATTATTTCACTTACATAAAGATAGGAAAAAAGTGTAAAATATATATTGCAAAATGTTTCCTTTAAAATAGTAAAATATTTATATTTTTTTCGAGCGTAATTTGGTGTTGTAATTTTTCAAGTGCGTTTTATTATTTTACCCCCTACCCTTAGCTACCCTACCCACATTTTACTACCTTAGGCTACCCCTACCTACCTTAAGCTACCCCTACCCTACCCCTACCTTGCTACCTACCTGAAGCTACCCTACCTACGTAAGCTGCTACCCCTCCCCTACTTTAGCTACCCTACCTAGGCTTGCCTACCTACCTTGGCTACCCTACCTTAAGCTACCTACCCTACTGCAGCTACCTACCTACCTTAAGCTACCCTACCCACCTACCTTAGCTACCCCTACCCTACCCTACCTTAGCTACCCTACCTACCTTAGCTACCTACCCCTACCTTGGCTACCCTACCCTACCCCTACCCCTAAGTTGATGATCTATATAAACATTGTTATCAGGTGATGAAGGCTGGTGAGGTTAAACACGAGGTGCTCTCTGCTGATTTGCATATATATTAGGGTAAATGTTTGCTCTTCTCGCCACACTTTGTCACAGACCCTTAAATGTTGCCTTCGAGACCCCCCCTCCCTCAATCTAAGGACCCTAGGCCTATCTTAGACCCTGGACCCTAGCCTTGGACCCTAGACCTGGACCCTAGTTGGACCCTAGACCTGGACCCTAGCCTTGGACCCAGACTGGACCCTAGCCTTGGACCCTAGACCTGGACCCTAGCTCTGGACCATGGACCCTAAACCCTGGAACCGGTCCCCACAGGAAGGTCTCGACGGTACAACGCCCCCCCCCCACCTCCCTCCCCCTCACTGTTGTTGTAGTGGAGGTAAGTGATAACAGGGGTTGGTACTCACCCGTCTCGTGTGACCTCAGCCTTGTTGACGGGACAGCGGTGAAGCGGTCCTGCAGGAGACACACCTCACGCCGCCCGCACCGCAGCAGGCCACAGAGCGCGTCTGTAATGCAGGAAACATACACAAATTAATCACATGAGAGGCGGTGGTATATAGTTTACTGCCCCTCACAGTCGCCACACCAAACACGTGGGGTACTGAAGTGTCTAATCATATCTACATCCATCCTCACTATCCACCTTCATCCTCTCTATCCACATTCATCCTCTCTACCCACATCCATCCTCTCCATTGAGCGGTACCACCATCACCACAATAACTACCACTACAAGCACCACCATTACTACCACACTTATCACTACCACTTCTACCACAGCCACCATGTGTGTGAGGTAGCAGGAGGTGAGGTGAGACTTGAGAAGCAGTAGGGTGTCAGGTCTCAGCTCCTGACACCCACACCCTGCAGGTACACGTGGTGGCTGAGGGTAGGGGAGTGAACACGTGGAGGTGGTGGTGGTGAGGGGGGGGGGAGGGCTCATCTTGGAGGAAAATGAGGGGGACAGTTACACTTGGAGGAAGAAGAAAAGGAGTTACCCTGGAGGAAAATAGGAGGAGGAGTCACCTTAGAGAACAAGCGTGGGCGTGGAGGTCACCTTGGAGGGCATGTGAGAGGGGTGTGTCTCAGGGATGTGTTGTGATCGTCTTCAAGATAGGGGAAGGGTTGTTATACAGTAAATGAGGCAATACAGGAAGGTAAGGGAAATCGTCCTGAGAGACAACGACACCATTTTTCACGACCAGGAGAGAGGGCGGCTCTAGAGGGACGTGGGTGACCCCGTCATGGTATAGGTAGGAGTGATTGTTTTGTAGGGTAGGGAGAGAGGGTCGCTATGTAGAGCACAGAGAGAGAGAGAGGGTCATTTTTTGTAGGGTAGAAAGAGAGAGGGAGAGAGAGCTGTCTTGGCGTAAGCGAAAACATCATCGTGGAAGGACAAGAGTCAAGGTTGGACTGTACCGGTAAGGCGACACACCCGCCCGCTACACTGTCGAACAAGAGACGCCGGAGATTGTACCAAGGAATATTGTTATTTTTGACTCTTTGGCGAAGCGCTGGTTGTGGTGCAGGAGGAGGAGGAGGAGGAAGAGGTGAGGGTGATTTCCATGGAAAGAACTCGTGGCATCTGGAGAAGAATGAGAGGCGGCAGCTGTGCATTGTCATAATATACGTGGTGAGAATACCGTGTGTGTGTGTGTGTGTGTGTGTGTGTGTGTGTGTGTGTGTGTGTGTGTGTGTGTGTGTGTGTGTGTGTGTGTCAGCAGCTACACCTCCCTGGCTTTATTATAATAGTCTCTCGCACGACGACCCTCACCATGACTCTGATCACTACTCTCCTCACGACCCTCAGCACGACCCTCCTTATTACTCACACCACGACCCTACTCATGACTCACACCACGACTCTCACCATCACGACTCTCACCATCACGACCCCCTCAAGACCCTGGCATCTCACCCACCATTATGTAAATATTCGTCAGTTTATACAGTGGGAAATAAAAACACAAAGGTGTTATTCCCTCAAGAGTTATTGAAGAAAATTGTCTCGTATATAATATTTCATCGATATTTTACTACAACTTTAAATAACACTGAGATTGATTTACTATATTTAATGAACTACATAATTGGTTGTGAACGAGGGTAATTTCCAGCTACAGGTAAATTGGTCAGTATTAATATAATAACACAGATGCAAATTTCAATATAATTCGTTCATTCAGACAAAAAGTTTATCTCAGCAACAAGAAAAAGTTTATGACTCGACTCTCGCGTCAAACACGAACTATAATTCTGATATATTGAAAAAGTTGAGACGGGTGAAATAATTCAACATCACTTCTGCTTAATAAAATAAAAAGCGTCGGAACCTGATGATGTTATACTAAAGTTAAAATGTTATTAGATTAGCATTTCAAATATCAAGAGTTAAATATATGTAATGAATAAACTGAATATTGGCTGCAACTCTGTGTCGCCGAGTTAATGTTGACTAATTAAAAGCTGTCACCCACACGTTGTTGATGTGGTGGTGAAGGGTGCTACCTGCCACCTTACCTGTGTGTGTGTGTATCTTACCTCACAAGTGTCAACCATCTCCTCACCACCTGGTCCCCACACCACCTAATCCACCCCATCTCGTCTCCTCCTCATCGGGCCCCCACCCCACCTGGTCTCCTCCCCACCTGTAATATCAACAACACAGGTAACCAGACAACGGTGGTGGGGAAAAATCCCTCCTCCTAGGGTAAAAAAAAAATAAAAGAGTTGTATGATATTTAGGGAAGTTTAGCAGCGACAACTCCCGTAATGGAACGAGGTACTTAGGTAAAGTGTGTTGTGTAGCACCTCTTTGACGCCCCCGCCCCGCCTATTGTCAGGTGAGCTCAGGGTGAAGGATGAAATTACCGGCTACCTCTCCGTTCTCTGCCTCCCGTCCCTGGCTTGGTCTTCAGTCCCTGGCTTGGTCTTCAGTCCCTGGCTTGGTCTTAGTCCCTGGCTTGGTCTTCAGTCCCTGGCTTGGTCTTAGTCCCTGGCTTGGTCTTCAGTTCCTGGCTTGGTCTTAGTCCCTGGCTTAGTCTTCAGTCCCTGGCTTGGTCTTAGTCCCTAACTGGTCTTAGTCCTGGCTTGGTCTTAGTCCTGAAAGCGGTCTTAGTCCCTGGCTTGGTCTTAGTCCTAGCTTAGTCTTCAGTCCTAGCTTGGTCTTAGTCCCTGGCTTAGTCTTAGTCCTAGCTTAGTCTTCAGTCCCTGGCTTGGTCTTAGTCCTAGCTTGGTCTTAGTCCCTAAGCGGTCTTAGTCCTGGCTTAGTCTTCAGTCCCTGGCTTGGTCTTAGTCCCTGGCTTAGTCTTCAGTCCTAGCGGTCTTAGTCCTGGCTTAGTCTTCAGTCCTGGCTTGGTCTTAGTCCCTGGCTTGGTCTTAGTCCCTGGCTTGGTCTTCAGTCCCTGGCTTGGTCTTAGTCCCTGGCTTGGTCTTAGTCTCAGCATAACGTCAACATCACTCTCCACTGTGTCTGTGTTTTGGACCACCTTGTGTGAACATGTTGATGCTGACGATGATGCTGACGATGATGATGACGATGACGATGACGATGATGATGATGATGATGATGAGGCTGATGATGATGATGATGATGATGACGATGATGATGATGATGATGATGATGATGATGATGAGGCTGATGATGTTGATGCTGACGATGATGCTGACGATGATGATGACGATGACGATGACGATGATGATGATGATGATGATGAGGCTGATGATGATGATGATGATGATGGTAAACGCCTTAGAATACTACAGCATCAACCATGAGATAACCTTTAACACCCAGCAACAGTCACACGTCTAGCTGGGTGACAAAACTTATCCTCATTACTTTATGGTCATGTCACGGCCTTTTATCGTGCCCCTCCCGTGACGTTAACCTCTCGGCGTGTGACATGGGATAACGTGACGGTATTGGGACAGTAACGGCTTGGAGGACACTTAACCTATCGGACCCTAACGTTATCCCCCTCAAGATTTTAACATTCCGATATCTTAACGTTAATCATTTGGCCGATAACATTCTGATGTACTTAGCGGTAACCAGTGAATAGATATTGATACAAGAATTAGAATTAATATGTATACAAAACACACACACACACACACACACACACACACACACACACACACCACCACCACCACCACCACCATAGGCGTTAATAATGGTCTATGCTCCTACTCTGACAACCTGACACACAGCCTCTCATTAACCTTCCTCACTACACCTGACACACAACTTTTAATTAACTAAAGTAAACTTTATCCAATTTGTTACACATCTGTTGTATTAATTATGATTTTTTGAGGGTTTGTTTTGCAGTTTGGTGAAGCGTGGTGTGTGACCCCCAGAGTAATAAGGTAAGGGTGGTACCTGTGTGTGTGTGGTAGTTCATGTTATTGTGTGATAACCTAACCTAACTTAACCTAACCTAATCTAACTTAACCTAATTTAACCTGACATAAACCTAACCTAACCTAACCTAACCTAACCTAATCTAACTTAACCTAATTTAACCTGACATAAACCTAACCTAACCTTACTAACTTAACCTTACCAATCTAACTTAACTTAATATAACCGTACTTAACCTAATCTAACCTAACATAACCTTACCGATCTAACTTAATATAACCGTACTTAACCTAATCTATGAAACACCTTTACCTGGATGACGTGGTACTAACCCCCTACCACAGCATTATATTGATGTTCGTGATTGCATTTCTACCTGTATAATGACCAGCCAGGTGAGTCTATATCATCTCATTAACCTATCATCATATTTTGTCTTTCTATGTATTTGTGTAAAAGACTCAACAGGTAAAGTAAACGTGGTAGTGATTTCTTATAATTGAATTGATCTTTTTTTTTACTCGTAGTTATTAAGTTCTTGGTGTTAAAAATTATTTCAGGTGAGTTTGAAATTTTTTATGAATATTTTTTTTTATACGTGATTCTTCCTCCAGCCCAAGGTAAGGTTGATGATGTTTGTTTGTTTATAACGATGTTTGTTTCTTTGCTCTGTTGTTTACTGTGTCGTATCTTTCAATGTTATCATCAACCTTACGAGCATTATTGTTTTCTTACGAGCATAATTATTTAGCTACGAGCATTATTGTTTAGTTACGAGCATAATTATTTAGCTACGAGCATTATTGTTTAGTTAGAGCATTATTATTTAGTTACGAGCATTATTATTTAGCTACGAGCATTATTATTAGTTAGAGCATTATTGTTTAGTTAAGAGCATTATTATTTAGCCACGAGTATTATTATAGTTACGAACCTTTGAGACTGGAGGCAATGGGGCGAGTTTTTCTCCGGCACTCACAATAAACTGTTCCGACTTCTCTCCAGATACGGTTCAGGAGTCTCGTCCAATATATAACCCTGATTTAACTCTCTGATTTCCCCCGGGTGTCTAGACGGTGCTGGATACGTTCTGATTGGCTGAGTGTGTGTTGTTGTGGGTGACCTTGTTGCTGGAGAAGTAATGATTGGCTGGGTGTGTGTTGTGAATGATATTGGTGGGTAACTAGTGTGTGTGTGTGTGTGTGTGTGTGTGTGTGTGTGTGTGTGTGTCCTAGTCGGCGGCAATAAAATATTCAAATAATCAGTGGTTTTATCGTGTTTTATAGACCATAAAAGTAATTAAATAAAGCTTGAATTACTTAATTTTTCA